TGCACCTGTTGCTCCACTTAAACTGTGTTCTTTAAAATCAATATCTTTCCAAACATTTGCCTCTGCATTGCAAAAGTTTATTTAATTTAGCTAATCATTTATTTGTTTAACATGGAAAAAAAGGAGAAGAAAAGTGAAGAAAAAAAGAAAGTCAATGTTAAATCAACTTTGTTTATTGGTGAATTACTTATAAGTGATGATACTATTTATCCAAGAAAAGTGAATTCATCATTTTTGTACCAAAATGGCACTGATCATCAAAAAACTGAGTAGAGAATAAAGGGTTCCTGTTGGATTTGAGAGTTTATTGTTTTAGAACAACAAATCAAACCATATAATTAACTTTTAAACAACATAACACATTGGATTGAAACATTTTAGAAAAACATGTGTAAATCGATATTATAGCAATTCCAATGTTCATTTACCAAAGAGTGGCTAAATTGATAACGATAAGGTGGGATGACTGAGAGCATAGCACATATGGGGGGGGGTTTAAGACTGTGGGGATGGAGAGTTAACTATCTACAGACCAAAAAGGCCTGCATTCCATTGGTAATCTCCTCCACAGCAGCAGAGAGGAGGGGGTCTGTTAGAATTATGTTAGTCGTGGTTTTACAACATCCTCTGCTTTTCCTCAGGACAGAGCAGGAAATTAAGTATTACAACTGGGGATTATTCTCATTGATCTTCCATTATAATGGCATAGATGTGGAGTTCCCCATGACTGTCGAACTTTCAGCTAAACATTTGAGGACGCTGTCAGAATCGTCTCCGAGTCTTTGCATGAAGGCGTTCTGATCAATAGCCATAGCTTCCTTATCTTCCTGTGATCTGCAGTTTGTAAAATCTGTACATTGAGATTAAAAAGAAAATTTGAAAAATAATGGCATTTACAATATAAAAAAACGTATTTTAAAGTTAAACGACAATTAATTATAAGCACACAGTTCATTTGTATGGCATTGCCGCACTCACCATCATGGTCCTATCACGACAGTACTCCCTTTGTTTTCACATATGGACAACAAAAATAATGTCTCACCATGATCTGAGTGTAAAACCTGCGGCTTGGCCAAGCCCAGACACTCTGCCTGGGTCTCAAATTCCTTCAGCTCAGCAGCAGTGATGTTTGTTCTCCTGCCTGGTGAGCAGGGGACATATTTGAGATTACAGCCTTGCGATGATATTCTAAGAATATCTACAGTACATGTTAGAGAAAAATAAAAGGTACGTTGATAAAAACAAAGATGACTCATTATTACTCGGTGACGTGTGTTGGTTGTTCACTTTAGTACAGACTTTAATATATCAAAAACTATTAGATGGAATATCATGAAATATATGACACACATGAGATGGTGAACATTATACCGTACCTCTTTAATAGTAGTGTTTTTGCATGCTGGCATTAGCGTTGTTGCTAAATACGACCTCAAAGAGCCACTAGCATGGCTGTATCTTTAGTATCGTTTCATTTAGTCACATAGTTATTTCTACAGAATAAAGTTTTGTATAGGAAACCCCAAATACAAATAATTATGAATAATCTGAAGCAAGGTTGACAAAGTTAATACATAGCCTTCATGCAGTGACTATTAGTGTCTTGTTAAAACCCTCTGGAGTCTAAGGTTATTTTCTCGATTTTTAGATGTTTTCTTAAATCACCTTTTAAATGTATTTCTTCTAACATGGCACCCCATGTGTTAAATATCAAAATGTTCAGGACAATCTCTGGTATTGCTATATATGCAAATTACTCACCTTAGAGCACTGTTTGATGAGATAAGTAGCTCAAAAGCTTAAAATTTGACATCCGATTTTCGGAAAATCTTCAAAACTTTTGTGAAAACACAAATTTACTCATGTGATCGAATTGTTTTGGTGTTTTAGATTAGGTTACCAAAGTCTTAGGATCACAAAAGCAGTGAAATATTTGAATTACACTGTATATAAATGTGTTATTCATGTCTAAAATGAAAAAAATTAAATTCGAATTTTGAGTAAAAATAGGTGTTTATCACTCTACTTTCACCACAGCAGGGACTGAGATACATTAGGACTGAATAATGACTTCATATTACATACCAAGGTTCATGTGATGTGTACAAATACAAATTGAGCATTCAACCTTTTTTTTTCAACCAACAATTTATTATAAATATGTTTTTTTCAACCAAATATTTATATAAATATAAGAAACTGGAAAATCTAACTATTTACAATATTGAACATCAGAACTTTCAACCAACTATTCATTATAAATGTCAAGACAGTGTCAAGGTCTTTGTCTGTCTTCCAAGACAGTGGGTCTGGCTGCTGTGAAGATGGGGGTGATGGTGCATGGGCTGCTGTGTAGGTGGGGTGTACAAGTGCTATACGAGACCTCCACGAGACCTCCTTGCTGGCTGGGTTGAAGGTGATGGCTGTGGTGGAGCCTTTGTGCTGAGGTGTATCTTGACCTGGTGGCAGCCGCAGATGGAGGTGGAGGCAGCTGTAGTGATGCTGGTCTGCTGGTCCTTGGTGGTGATCGCTCTGGTGAAGGCCCTTGAGCCATGGTAGATCTTGACCTGGGGGCCAGCACAGATGGATGTTGTGGTTGCTGGATAAACGCCGCCTGTGGGCCACTAGACCCAGACAGCTGTGAAACCTCTCTGTAAAACAAATTAAAATGTAGGACAATAATTACAACTAATTTCATTGAAATAAAGTTCAAGTAAAATGTTGCTCAAGCACAAATAACAATGCACACATAAAAAGAAAGTTTGGGAGGTTGGAGAAGGAATCTCTCTCGATCTCTCTCTCTCTCACACACACACACACACACAGGTATTTCCAGTTACTTTACATTCAGTATAAAATCACAGACACACATATACATAGGCTACATCTGATTACAAAGTATTATTACAAAAATAATAACAGGCACACATAAATAAATCTATGACAAAGTCTCATCTGTACAGAACAGTATGATAAAATAATCGATGGCAAAAACATGTCACTGTAAATGTCTCCGTTGTGGGACGAATACATGATTAATTTAATCCTCTACACATGTAATCTCACTTTTACACACCAAAATAACGTTAACACAGAGTAAACATTTGCTAATGGAGAGTCTATTTTGTCCAATAAAAAGTTCATGACTATCGATAAAAAATATATATCAATAAACCTATTGTTCATTTTCGCGGTATTCCCCACACATTGCCAGTACACTATTACTGTAATATTTACACTTACCCATGCCCAAATGGATACTTGTTGTTGTCTTTGTATTCTTCTTCTTCAGAAGAGTCGAAGACTTCACGTTCTGAGGCTCTATCTTCACTGCTGCTAGCGAAAAAAATCTTTAGCGAAGTCGGCAACTGTAACGTTTTTTTTATAGCCATTTTCTCTGTCTCTCTCTCTCTCCTCAAAGACGTAAATTGATGGGAGACACGTGGTTTATGTTTTGTTTACTTGGTGGGTAGGTCCTTAGTGATTTCTCGATGTCCATTTGTCATTTCAGACCATGATGGCTGCCGGCCGAGATTTCCTTGACGGACACACGAATCCACCAATCCCACACAGTGTAAAGTCAAGCTGCTTTGAGCGGTCATATTGGCTGCTGTGCCCTGGTTACAGTCTCACAGATCGCTGGAAAGCTACTCTTCCAGTGATTCCGCGGATATGTGAATCATATTTCTACTCCTTATAATCGAAAATATATGATTAATTACGTAAAATTATGCGCCAGAGGGATATTGTAATGTTTATCATCATTATTGACACCATTAATTTCAATATTGTAGCATAATTCTTCTATTTTCTTACAAAAAATTGTGAGTATTTGAGGGAAACGATCCCTCTTTGAAACGATGCAGTCAGGACAGCCAGTCTGCAGAAGCACATCAGGGACATCATGTGAAGCGTCTGTTGAAAAATTGATAGAGAATGGATGTTAATCATGATTTAGATAATATACAATCAAACTTTTATATCATAATCACACTTATCAAAATTATAGAAATACAAATATTATTTTAATTATTTAAATAAATGAAAATATCACAAACATGTGTCACAGCTCTTGTTCAGTGTCCTACAAACTATTTAAAATCTTATCAGCTGGCTTAAAGGACCAATCTGTATTTCCTATATTTAGTAACATTTTGCATTGTAAAAGCCTAAAATACAAATGAGAAAAGCAGAGAAAACAAATAAATAAACTCCAGTGCATTCGGTTAATAAATAAAAAAAACTCTTACTGTTACTGTCTACATCAAAGAGCTTGTTGTTCTCCAGGAAAAATCGTTGGATTTCGTTGCCGCATAATCCATATCGGCAAAGGTTTTATTCAAGAGTGTACAAGCTTGTACAGGACATGATAATGAATGATGCATGAATATTCTAAGTGTGTGTTACGATCTTTCTTTGAAACATTCATGTCAACAAATAAACCACCATTTCAAGATAAAAGATTGCATACATCTTTGCTTTGACTATGAAATCATAGAAATGTGGTGTCTCTTTGGAGGTAACTTCCACGTGGACACTTGGTGATAAAACTCTGTCAATCATCTGCGAACACACACAGCAAAATCAGCAGTGCTAATTTAACTCTTATAGAGTCAAATCCAACACTTTAAAAGTGTCTATATAGGTCCACACTGTTTTGAGTTAAAACTACACTTTTGAAAGTGTTAAAAGGTTTACACTAGGACAGAGTTCCAGCAACTCTCTCTATAGTTAAAATGTAACTCTGGTCAATACCGGTCAGTGTTAAATGTACGCAACACTAGCTTGCAGTGTCAAAAATTAACACCACAAGTGTACATTTTTAACACTAAATAGAGTTAAAGTCATATTAACACTATTAAGGATATAAAATGTAACTCAATATTTAACTCTTTAGAGTTGATTCATAAGCACTGTAGGGTGTCAATTTATAATTTCACCTACACACAATGCAACATTATTAATAAAAACGATATAAAAGAAAGACACAAGCCAAGTTTCAAAGTTTGCAGTTAACATGTAACTGTATTTGTGTGAAAACAACACATACAACATAGTCTTACATTAACATTCCACAGTACGTCCATGCAGTCCTTAACAGCACAGGTTACACAATATGACAATGTGGCACTATCTATGTTTTTCCATCCATCTCATTAGAAAACTGTTTGTCATAGGGTCTATAATAACGTAAATCATCAATAGAAATAACAGAAAATGAATCAATCGTCTCCTCAATACAGTATGAACTATAGTGTTCATCAAAATACAGTGTGTCCACTTTGCAAATCAAAATGAAAGCTCGATCTTCATTTAGAATGATATTATTGATTTTTCCAAAAACAGGAGTTTCTTTATCAGTTCTTATGGAAACAAACATTCCAATTTGATAATCAGTTCCATAGTTCTTTACCCAGTTAGTAGTTGACACGTCGCAGTATGCATTCACCTTAAATGCAGCACTTAAAGCCTCACCACCCTCCAAACTGTCGATCATTTCCTTCCTGACTGGACCAAACTCGAACCTCTGAAAATTAAAATTCTCCCAGTGATAAGCCAAATGTCTTTGGTGTTGTTTTACTAAGCTTTTTGTAATGTTTTTGAAATTCTTCACTGATCTTTAAAAAAAATTATGTTTGGCCTCAAATCTCATGCACCATACATGGAGGAGTGGACCTATTTTTCGAATACACCTTGGATAATGTATCATAAAATGATGCTTTGGAATAAGTCTTCTGTCAGGAAACAAAGATTTGAACAGCTTGTGGTGATCAATGATTAAATGCTTCAAATAATATGTCATACCATTTGTAATAATTGGTGAAAAAACAATATTCACAATCTGAATCAAGAGGAGGAGCAGATTCCAACAATTGTTGTTTCTTTGAACAACATCACCAAGAATAAGGGGAGCATTTCGCAAGAGACACCATGACTGAATTGCATTCAATCCAAGATTTTTGCTCTCATCCATTTTTAAACCACTTGGCCTGTTCCGTCTCTCAGTATATCCGTAGTTGAAACTTTGGATCCTCATTGACAGTGTTTCCAGAGATAGACACTTCTTATTGACAAGGTACTGAAATACAAGTTTCAGTTCGTACTGCACTACACCTTCAAGCAAATCGTGCATGATGTCCACCGCGTAGTTATCAGGTGTGGAAAAATGTTAGTGTATTGAGCAAGCATGTCTTCTTGACACCAAATGTTGACCCTAAAATAGGATTTTCCTGTAGAGCTGCACAATGTTCTGCATGGATTTCTTTAGTACGAAAAACCATACTAGGGTCATCTTCAGTGAAGACGGACTGTAAATCTCCTTTGGTAGTTAAACAAAATCTACAACAATATGTTGCGCTGAAACACTCAACAAAACCAAACAGCCCGTGTAAACCCAGATTATCACCTGTTACTTGAATAACAGATCCTAGCAATGGTGAGTCAGAGAAAGGCACCTCTATCCCTTGCATTTCGAGTATTTTAAGATCATCAGTGAGAGGCTTTAGTATTGCATCAAATCCATATTTTTTCAGGTCTTGTGCATGAAAGAGTGCCACGACATGAATATTCATCAGCACAGAATTACATTTTGGGGGTAGGTTCCTCAATATGAAGTAAATACAACCAAGTTTGTGTATACCCTTCTTTGAACCTAAGGGATTTGCTGTCTCAAAATCGTCATAATAGAGTTGAACCTGTAGAGCGTGTTTTTGCTTGGAAAACAAATCATTGCTTTTGAAATATGAACCATCACTTATGTCTTTATAAGTACCTTCTTCTTGTTGTTTTGCCTGCAGGAATAATTCACATAGTTCACTGTTCTTAAATATGGACTTAAGGGTTCCCAACAAGGGTACATACACAAATGTATCTGTTACAGGTATCTGATTGTAAACTCCTGTTGTTCGATCTCTGCGTAAATCAAATCTGACCCCAAGAACATACTCAACAATCTCCCACTTTTCTTCAAAGAACCTTTGTCGTTTGGATCCTGTATTAAAGGATGTGAAAGGATTCTCTAGCTGATCAAAACTATTTTCCAACTTTTTACCCAAATCAGTGCCTTGGACCTCTGAACTGCAGTTGAGAACTGCATCTCTTGCTTGTCTATGAATATCATTTACAAGCTCTTCCATGGACCCCACCATTGCTTGGACAGTGCTCTCAGCAACACCAGATGCTTGTAACTGGGCTACAACAGAACCACACATGTTTAACACGTGCTGTTTATCAAAAGTAACCTGGGAGGTTACGGAAGTGTCAGTACAAACTGCCTGAGAACTTGAAGATTCATCAGTTTCTCGTTGAGTGTCCACATTGTCCATAGTACTAGTTGAACCAGTGTCCCTGTGCAGACTGAAGAGGTGCTTTTTGAACCCTGAATAAGTACAATAGGATAAAGAACATCCCGGCTGGCCACATTTCAAACGTAATGACTTTCCAGGATATAAACCATGGTGAAATTTCAAATGCTGACAAAGCAATGCAGAACTTTTGTGGTGTCCCTTACAGATAAAACAAATCAGCATATTTGCATCCAGTGATGTAAATAACTTCAGATATCAGTGTGCAGAAGCCTTGCTCTGAGTTCTTTGACTCTGGGACTTTCCTTGGCACTTCCAATATCAATGTTAAATACCGTGGTTTGTATGAAAGTGTAGAAGCTGGTGAGGGATTCATGGTAGTTGACACTGAAGTTGAAGTGAGCTTTGAAGAGTTCATCGAAGGCTGCCATGGATGTCTGCCCCTTGCAAGGGATGGCCTTGTGGTCAACGATGACGTAGAACCGTTGAATGTTGTTCTTCTGTTCACCAACACACAGCAGGAAGGGCTGCCCTGGTTCCAAACTCGAAAGGAAGGTCTCAACACTGGCTCCAATCTGCAAAAACGTAGAGAGACAGAGAAGTTTTAATGGCATACTAAGCTACTTAAAACAAAAATTGTCCCAACTCAAGGAGTGCCAGTGATATAACAACTGCATACAAAAACTAAAATAATGCCTACCTTGAGATATCTCACAACATGGCTGACAGCTTGATACGAGCTAATTTTAGCACTCTTCTTATGGCCTTTTGAGGTTGGGGGGAGTAGATGAACCAAGAGTAGAATGCTTGACAGGTCACTGTCCCATCCTAGGGGCAAAAAATATGCAAATATAACAGTCAGTCGTTTAAAGCTGAAAATAGTCTTAAATCAAGGTTATGCAACCGATAACATTGAAAGGTCTCAAGATTTTCAGTAAACAAAATCTGCAAGAGAAAATACTTGCCTGACTCATTTGAGTTTTGTTGTGCAGACAAGAGGTCATCAACATGAACATTAGAGTGTAGGTTCTTGCAGTCTGCCAAGATCCTAGGTTTGAAGAAAGTGGGCCATCTCGCTAACATTTTTCCAGAAATCTCTTCTCCAAACATCATTGTGAAATCTTGGTCAACCTACAGGAGAAACACCATGAGTCATGGCAACCCCTCAGACCATCCAAATAATAAACTAAATATGACATGTTGTTCTTACCAAGCCAGGGATGTCGAGGAAATGAGGAAACACATCCAGGACTGTTGAAGAGGCTTGCTGGTCCCGAGTCATTGCTTGCCGACACTGAAATGTTGCCTTCATCTTCTCTTTGACAACTGATTCGTCAGCTGAATGCTTTATGAAGGATATTGCCTCTCTGCATTCCTCGCCAGTCAGTTGCTCACAAGTCAAGAGAAAATCCCTCTTGCTCTTTGGACCATCTTGATAGGTAGTGCTGGGGTAGCACCACCGGGACTGAACCGCAGTGTTGCGCTGAACCGTCTTTATCCTCCATGCCAAGTAGCCAGATCCACCATCTGCATTATAGTAGTGTTCCTGTAACATCCAAAAATAAATCAAAACTGAGAACACAGAAGTGATAGCATTACAGGAAGGTTGTTCAAAAAGTTAAGAATGAACACACTTCCTTTTCACAAATTCGAATACAGGTCATTCATTCATAGACTTACGTATCCATTCTTTGAGTATGGATCTCTTAGACATGGAAATAGAGTGATGATGCCAAGAGCACACTTTTCTCGCACATGTGTTGGCGGGATCCTCCTTTAAAAAAATATATATATATTTTATCTTAAAAGTATAAATGCCTTACAGCTTTAGATTGTTTTAACATGTGAGCAGCTGTTTCCAAAATGTACATTACTTAGCACTATCTGTGAAAACATGATTAACACCAAAAGGGAATATTCAGTCCTTACCCATGAACTTCGATCATGTCAGCCACCAGTAGGTTTACCATCTGTCGTCGTGTACCATCCATCAATGTTTTAGTTGTTGCATACTCTTGCAAGATTTTTTCTCCCCCTAGCTTAGACTGGAGAACATCGCTGACCATCTAGAAGATAAAGAAAAATCATATGGGAAGTCATTATCTTGGGCATTCCATACAAATCATAGGTTATCTGCCCAATATATCCATGTTTAATGATTAATAAAGAACTAAGTAAATTGCAAAAGTGTAGTCCCCTGTACCTCTTTGTCTGATTCCCGATCAACGTGGACTCTTTTCACTCCACTGTCTCTCTCAAGAACTATTCTTGCATCTGATGAATTAGACACCGTAGAGGATGAAGCATTGGTCACGGAGAATGAGGTGTCTGAAAGGTCCGACTCCAGCAAAGTGTGCGATACATTTTGAAGCACAACTGCAAGATAGATAAAAGAATGACATACTCAATGAAAGAAGAAAAAAACATACTTTCAGCCCTCCAAACGATGTTACAGGGTAATCTCAGCAAAAACTCAGTAGGGATGGGTCCCTGATTTTCCATTGCGAGTCTGAATCTTACCTGAAGACTGTCCTGTGGACACTTTGACTGTAAGGTTCCCTGCTTGTAAAAGCTCTTCAAAGACATCTGCATCCACCTCTGTCCCTGATTCATCAGTCAAGTGCAGCTCACTCTGTAGTGGTAAACCTAACTTTTCTATGACTGAGAGAGAATATTGAAATGTACCACCTGACAATATTGGTACGTTTAACTAAAACAAGATTCATTTGTTAGACTCAAACAATCAGTGATATGTATTCAAGTTATCCATACCTTTCTGAAGAAATGTACTGTAGCTTTCATAGCCTTCTTCAGTCTCAGACACTTTCACATATTTCTGGCTTTCGCCATATCTTACTTTCACCAACATGGTGTCCTATAAGAATACAAATGTATTAGCAAACATATTACAGAAATATCTAACAGACCTGTTGCTACAAAAATATAATTATGCATTTAAGTGTCGTTGAAATAATTTAGGAAAATGCTAACAGTGGAGCTCAACACCAGTGGCTAACGATAGCAGTATTACTGCATTGTATTACAATTAACAATTGTATGTTTTGAGCTGTACTGTACCCAATATACAAGCTGTTAATACACTTTTCAATCAAACTGACATGTGGAGCTGAACATGCTAACACGTGGAGCTAAAAACCCGTGGCTAATGATAGCAGCTAATATGACTGACAAGTTGAGCTATTAGCTGCTATCGTTAGCCTTGGGTGTTTAGCTTCACATGTTAGTAATATATATTAAAGTAGCCTCACATCTAATTCATATTGCAGGAGCTACTATTGTTGATCACAGGTGTACCTCCACGTGTTAGTTAGTAATATTAGCTACTATGGCGTTTAGCTCCACCTGTTAATATGAGTTGCTATCGTTAGCCGCAGGTGTTTAGCTTTACTTATAGCAGCTAAACTTACTAACACTTTAAGCTTACAACCCGCGGCTAACAATAGCAGCTAATATACTAACACATGGAGCTAAACGCCCCAATAACAGACTTTGTAATGATATTAAAAATATGTTAGGCTAAACACCCCTGGCTAATGATAGCAGCACATATTACTAGCATGTGGAGCGAAGACAGCAGTCAATGTAAAATAATTAATATTTATGTAGCTGAAGGTAAGCGCTGTTCAGCTAAATAAATAAATACCTGTACTAGGCTACTGGTTCGAAACATTTACTTATACTTTGGTCAGTTTATCCTCCAAATAGAATGTGGTGGTATGCTCCTCCGATTTGGTCTCCCGCCTCGACTACGCGCACACACATTCACAGTCACGGCCACACCCAACAGAGCAACAGCCAGTGATCCACAGAAAGAGAGATTGTAACACTGACTATGTAATTAAATCAACACTCTAGAGTTGTTTGGAGAATTCAACAATTGACTCCCTGTTTCAACACCAACTCGTTTTGAATAATAACTATCTTGGAGTTGAATGACACTTAAAATGAGTTGAAACAACTCTATATTTAAATTTCCAACTCCAACACTGAAAATATAACACTTTTGATTTTGCTGTGCAGGATGTAGGTATGGCTATGACATACCACCTCCCAGAGAACTGGAATGACAAAAGGAGAACATGATTTATACATTTTCACTGTTTAAATGTCTGGCAATTTGTTTTCCTCAATATGAAATTGTGACAGTGATCTTTTAACTTGTTCACAACATATTAAAGGAAAACGAAATATGGCAATTTAGTATGTTGAGTTAGTTAAGCCAAATAAAGAAGTTTAAAAGATACAAAGGGTGTTATAAATGTGAAAAGAGACTTACATCTGGAGCCTTGTCCACTGGCTGCAGCAGCTTCTCACAGGCCAGCGACGCAGGCTGGCACACTGAGGAGAGACTCAGCACAAGAGCAGCGACACTTCATCATGGCTGTGATTCCTCTTCATCGCTCTCGTTGGTATTATAAAGATATAACTGACCAATTAATTCTGTGCCAACATCCAACCGCCCCTGTCTCAAACTGCACTGATGTAACCCAGAGAGTAAGCATGACGGGAAGTCCTTCATGTTTACTTATTACACAAACAAATGCAAATACTGCAGGGTTAATTATTTCAACTAACGACCAACAGCGTGTCCTAAATCCATGATACACACTGATTTTAAGGACATTTTAAGAATGTATGTGTTTACATTGGTTTGAGTATACTTCATTTTGTCACCTTTCCAGACACTTTGCATTCTTAAAAAACACTGCACACTATTCTCCCAAAATGAAAGAGAGTAAGACCAAAAAAATTACAATGTAAGAAAACGTAACATTTTAAGGAGAAATCTTCCAAAAGTAGGATCTGGTTTTTGAAAAAAAAAAGAATCTATATTTGAAGTCTTCTTCTTAGGAGCTAGCAAAGTGTTGTAATGGTGGAAGATACCGAAATATCGTTCTTTGACTTTTAACTAATAGTATTACAATTGTTTTAAATTATTTATATACATATTGAAATGTTCAAAAGGGGTTCCTTAGAAAAGTACCAACTCAACACACTTGAACTATGTTGTGACGCTCTGCTGTTTAAAAGGTCCCAAAGCAGAGGCTGATTCAGGTAAAGTTTACAAGGTTTTACATTTAAAAAACACACACACACAAAAAGGCAGGCAGTGACGGCTATGAACCTAGCTGGTTAGCAGAGTTGTCCAAGGGAAAACAACCTGGAGTTCACACCGAAGACTGGAGATCTTGGTATCAAGGCTCTGGCTGCAGAGACACACTCTGTTTCATCCAATTACAATAACTCATCTGGCAGAGTAGTGGAGTGAGGACTGGGCTTTTATGGAGCAGGTTGATGAGGTGATTGGGAACAGATGTGCCTCATCTGCAGCCAGGAGCATGCCAGCCACGCCCCCTGACACACAAGCCCTGCAAAGAAGGAGAAACAGAAAAGGGAGGGGGGGGGAGAGCATTCAACAACAAAAAAACACCACAAAAAAAATGAAAATACATACCATATGTTCTTGTTTTTTTGAGAGGTTTGTATGAGATTGACAAACTTGCACTGGAAACTCAAAGTATCCTGACAAAGTGGAAAATGAATTTCTTGCTAAAATGTTTACCATAATGCAATGCATCACCTGATCGGCATAAAGAAAACATCATCTACATCTGTCAAGATGCTTTCTGTGTTAATGGTTCTGTTTGGATGCATAGCACACTATTCAATGAAGGATGTGGTTTTGTGGCTTCCTCTGCTCTGGCCAGATAGCTTGATATTTGACACATATACACCTCAACTGTGGTTGGGTCTTTTTTAAGACAAAATGCATCTTTAATATATAATTAAAATAACTGCTTACAGGCTAATCACTTCCTTAAAGTTTTCACAAGAGCACATTCCGGCTTAGACAAACACAGAGACAATAGACCATCAACTATCAAAAGGTGCTGAGGGCACAATGGATTTGGGAGTGGTGATCTACTGTACACGTTTTTTGAGCTGCTCATTGATGGCATCTGCTGTGCTGGTAATATTGTGGTTATCTTGGCACTTTGGACCAGTAAAAGCATTGTGGTACCAATAATAAGTGAAGAATCCCCACCAACTCATAAAGCTGGCAATGTCCTTGATCTCATATTCTCAAGGAACTGCACTACTTCTAACCTCTCTGTAAACCCGCTCCACACATCCGATCACTTCTTCATTTCATTCTCTCTACCCCTTTCCAAACATAACAAACTAATCTCTTCTCATCCTGCACCTGTCCGCCGTAACCTTCGTTCCCTCTCCCCCTCTACCTTTGCCTCATCGGTGCTCTCAGCCCTTCCTTCCTCTGACTCGTTCCAACTCCTACCTCCAAACTCTGCTGCAGAAACTCTCCTCTCTCCTCTCTCATCCTCTCTGGACTCTCTCTGTCCTCTCACATCTCGGCAGGCTTGTCAGTCCCCTCCTGCTCCCTGGCTAAATGACGCACTGCGTGCTAATAGAACCGTCCTTCGGGCAGCAGAGCGGAAACGGTGGAAATCCAAACACCAAGACGACCTCCTAACCTATCAGGCTCTCCTCTCCTCTTTCTCTGCTTCGATCTCTCAGGCAAAAAGCAGTTTCTTTCAAGATAAGATCCAATCTTCCTATTCCAATCCCAAAAAACTATTTTCCATCTTCTCCTCCCTCCTGGACCCCCCCAAAGCCCCTTCCCCCTCCTCCCTTCTGTCAAGCGACTTTGTTAACCACTTTGAAAAAAAGGTTAATGATATTCGCTCTTCTTTTTCTGACTCACCTTTACTCATCACTGGGTCACCAGACCCTCCTTTCACCCACACACTGACTTCCTTTTCCCCTCTCTCTCCAAGTGAGGTTCTTACCCTCATTACCTCTGCCCGTCCTACCACCTGTCCTCTGGACCCTATCCCTTCAAACCTCCTTCAGACTATCGCTCCTGATATTCTACCGTTTCTCTCCCATTTCATCAACACTTCTCTAACTTCTGGTCACTTTCCAAACAGTCTCAAGGAGGCAAGAGTAAACCCTCTCCTAAAGAAACCCACTCTCAACCCGTCTGATGTTATAAACTACAGGCCTGTCTCTCTCCTCCCGTTCCTGTCTAAAACACTTGAACGCGCTGTCTTTAAACAACTCTCCTGTTATCTCCATCAGAACAACCTTCTGGATCCGCACCAGTCTGGTTTCAAGGCAGGTCACTCCACAGAAACTGCCCTCCTTGCTGTCACTGAGGAACTGCACACTGCTAAAGCAGCCTCCCTCTCCTCTGTCATCATCCTTTTGGACTTGTCTGCTGCATTCGACACGGTGAATCATCAGATCCTCCTTCACACTCTCCAAGAACTTGGAGTTTCAGGCTCTGCACTTTCCCTCATCACCTCATACCTCAAAGACCGCACCTACAGGGTTACTTGGAGAGGGTCGGAGTCCGACCCTTGTCAATTAACTACAGGGGTCCCTCAGGGCTCTGTTCTTGGTCCCCTCCTCTTCTCCCTGTACACAAACTCGCTCGGATCTGTCATTAGCCCGCATGGTTTTTCATACCACTGCTACGCTGACGACACCCAATTAATTCTGTCCTTTCCCCGCTCAGAGACCCAGGTCGTTGCACGCATCTCTGCTTGTCTAGCTGACATCTCTCAGTGGATGTCTGCTCATCACCTCAAGCTCAACCTTGACAAGACTGAACTGCTTTTCCTTCCGGGAAAAGATTGTCCCACTCTTGACCTAACAATCAACATCGGCACCTCTGTTGTTTCCCCGACTCAGACTGCAAGGAATCTGGGTGTGATCCTAGATAACAACCTGTCCTTCACTGCAAACATAGCTGCTACAACCCGCTGCTGCAGATACACGCTTTACAACATCAGGAAGATACGTCCCCAGCTGAGCCAGAAAGCGACGCAGGTTCTGGTCCAGGCTTTCGTCATCTCACGCCTAGACTACTGCAACTCCCTCCTGGCTGGTCTACCTGCATTGTGCCATCCGACCTCTGCAGCTCATCCAGAATGCAGCGGCTCGTCTGGTCTTCAACCTTCCTAAATTCTCCCACACCACGCCGCTCCTCTGCTCCATCCACTGCGTTCCGGTAACTGCTAGAATCCACTTCAAGACAATGGTACTTGCGTACCATGCTGCGAATGGATCTGGCCCTTCCTACATCCAGGACATGGTTAAACCGTACACCCCAGCACGTGCACTTCGTTCTGCATCAACCAAACGCCTCGCTGCACCCTCGCTGCGAAGGGGACCAAAGTTCCCATCAGCAAAAACACGTGGGTTTGCTATCCTGGCTCCAAAATGGTGGAATGAGCTCCCCATTGAAATCAGGACAGCAGAAAGCTTACACACCTTCCGGCGCAGACTGAAAACTCATCTCTTTCGACTCCACTTCGAGCAATAGAACTATTAATAAAGCACTTACAGTATATACTAATAAAGGACTAGCTTACCTAAAGCCAGTTGAATAGCACTTGAAATGTTGTTGCTCTATGAAACCTGATGTACTTATATGATTCTGTTTTCTTCAAGTTTGTATTTTGTTGGTCGAACGCACTTATTGTAAGTCGCTTTGGATAAAAGTGTCAGCTAAATGCAATGAAATGTAATGTAATGTAAAAGAAAGATTTGTTTGCTTCTTTGTTGTAAGCCTATTAGCATATTGTTATTAGGAATGCTGGCTCTGTCATCGGTGTCAAATTGGACAGTTTTGTAGCTGTGGTGGAGAGGAGGACACTAAACAAACTGTTGTCGGATAACCCCCACCCTCTCCACCTGCAGCTGGACAGTCAACGGAGCTCCTTCTCCAGCAGACTGCTCCAGCCCCACCGTCACAAGGACATATACAGGAAAACATTCCTGCCTACTGCCATTAACCTGCACAACAACTCACCTCTGGCTGGCACTGCCCCATAGCTTGCTAGTGTCTCCTCTTCCATAACACAGCTATTTTGCACAATTATTTGTATTCTTACTATATATGTACTTGTCGCTAATGTTAAATTGTATTCATATTATATTTGTATTTTATTGTATCTTTTAAACATTTTTTACTGGTGTAATGCTTGACACTGCTGCTGGAACAAATTCATTTCCCAAATCTGGATAAATAAAGTATATTTATCTATTGTTAAATCTATAAGATTCATACTATTTCTTTGAATTATTTTATTTAGCTTCTGCCTGTTTTTACCTTAGAAATATTTGTATTCATAGTTTATCAGTTGTTTTTCCTAGATCCAAACATTTTGATATGTGAATAATATCAGAATGTGAATGCATCTTGGCAAAATATGTAATCTTTTTGAACTGGACACTTGCTTTGCTGTTGCTCTATTTAAAACTCTGTTCCTTAAAATCAATATATTTCTAAGCATTTGCCTCTGCATTGCAAAAGTTTATTTAATTGAAGTAATAATTTATTTGTTAAACATGGATAAAAGGAAAAGAAAAAGGAAGAAATAAAGAAAATCGATGTTAAATCACCCTTGTTTATTGGTGAATTACTTGATGATACTATTTATCCAAGAGAATTGAATTTATAATTATTTTTACCAAACTGGCACTGATCATCAAAAACCTGAGTAGAGAACAAAGGGTTCCTGTTGGATTTGAGAGTTTATAGTTTTAGAACAACAAATCAAACCATATAATTACCTTTTAAACAACTTAACACATTGGAATGAATCAAGAACAACATGATGGGTGTAAGTTGATTTTATTGCATTTTCAATGCTCATTCACCAAATACTGGCCCATGTTTCCTGAGCCCACTCGAAGGCAGCCTTGGTACAGAGAAGACTCAGCGATACATTTGAGGGATATGGCATGATTGTCATTCAATCTTTGTTGAATGGTGCGAAGTAAACTAGCCCCAGCTTCTTCATCTTCGTTTGATAGGCAGTTTGTAAAATCTGTGCAATGAGATTAAAGAGTCAATTAGAAATATTGTATATATATATATATATATATATATATATATAATGACAGTTAATTACAAGCACATAGTACATTTTGATGCATTGCCATAATCACATTCATGATACTATCATGGTACCATCATGGGGCTTTCACGACAGTACTTGTTTTCATATATTGATAAAAAAAGAAAGATGTCAAGACTCACCATGATCTGAGTCTAAAACCTGCGTCTTAGTCAAGCCGAGACACTCTGCCTGGGTCTCAAATTCCTTCAGCTCAGCAGCGGTAATGTTTGTTCTCCTGCCTGGTGAGCAGGGGACATATTTGAGATTACAGCCTTGCGATGATATTCTTTCTAAGAATATCTACAGTACATGTTAGAAAAAAATAGGTACGTAGATAAAAACAAATAACAGTTATGACTCATTATAACTCTGTATGTCAGTGTTGGTGTGTTGGTTGTTCACTTTATACAGACTTCGATATTTCAACAACTATTAAGTGAAATTACATTCCTACAGCTTCTTGATTAGTTGTAATAATCTTGGCAATCCTTTAAAGTGGACATATTCTTTCTTTAAACAGACTCTTTCAGTGCTTTTGTTCATTTTAGGGCTGCCCAGATCAGAGAGCAGCAGCATACCTAACTTTAGCTGAAAGTGAAGTGTTTCAAATAGAGTGTGAAGCCAGGGTTATTTAGACAGACAGTTATTTCAAACATAAAGAGTGTCTTGGTAAGCTATATTGTACTGTATAACATCATTATAAACTCCATTGTGTAAGTATTGTAGTATAACATTCTTCTATTTCTTACTAAATAAGATGAGTAAGTTCAAGACACTGTCCCCCTTTGTAACGATGCAGTCAGAACAGCCAGTCTGCAGAAGCAAATCAGGGTTACCATCTGCAGTGTCTGTTGAAAAATGGATGGAGAATGGATGTTTAAATGAAATGCTATACAATAAAACTTTAATATTATGATCACACACGTTTTTTTTTATGAAAATGATAAAAAATACAAATATCATTGTTTACATAAAGGAACACTCTGTGCATTGGTAAGAATACTTTTCTTCTTATTTTTTGTATGCATTGTAAAAGCTTAAAAGGCAAATCAGAAAAAGCAGAGACAAGACATAAAGAAACAAATAAACACCATTGCATGCGGAAAATATAAATAAAAAAATACTTACTGTTGCTATCTACATCAAAGAGCTTGTTGTTCTCCTGGAACATTTGTTCTGTTTCATTAGCGCAGAGTCCATGCCTGCAAAGGTTTATCCAAGATTGTAAAAGCTTGTACATGATAAGGAATTATGCATGAATACTCAAAGTGTGTTACGATCCTTCTTTTAAACATTCATGCCAACAAATAAACCACTATTTCAAGAAAAAAGATTGCATACATTTTCAGTTTGATGAGGAAATCGAAAACGTTTGGTGTCTCTTTGGAGGTAACTTCCACGTGAACACTTGGCAATAACACTCTGGAAACTAACTGTAATATACAGGACGAAGATATGGCTATGACATACCACCTCCCAGATAACTGAAATGACAAAAGAAGAACATTATTTATTTATTTTCACAGTTTAAATGTCTGGCAATTTATTTTTTCTTCAATAACAAACTTTGGCAATGAAAAAAATCTACTTTTCCTACAACATACTGCAGGAAAAGGAAATATGGCAATTCAGTAGGTTAAGTTGAGTTTTGTCATGTGAAAAAGTTTGAAAAATGCAAAGGGTGTTATAAATGTGAAAAGAGACTTACATCTGGAGCCTTGTCCACTGGCTGCAGCAGCTTCTCACAGGCCAGCGACGCAGGCTGGCACACTGAGGAGAGACTCAGCACAAGAGCAGCGACACACAGAGTCTTCATCATGGCTGTGATTCCTCTTCATCGCTCTCAGGTCAGTATTATAAAGATATCACTGACCAATTCATGCTGAGCAATATGCATCCACCCTGTCTGAGTGGGTTAAACCTGCACTGATGTAACCCAGAGTGTAAGCATGACGGGAAATCCTTCATGTTTACTTATTACACAAACTGAAATGCAAATACTGCAAGGTTAATTATTTCAAATTTGTGTCACAACAACACGACTAGTAGCGTGTCCTAAATCCAGGGGCAGTTCTAGGGGGGGCAACACTGACCTCTGACCCACCTGTGGCCCCCCTAACAATGAAAAGTTTTTTTTTTTAAAAATGTATATTTTCTGGTACTCGGTTTGCCAAAAAACGCAGGATTTTGTTGCTGAAATGTGAGATTGTGCAGACACCCTTATGTAAAGTAGAGATGTAACTGTTCATTGCCTTTATTTTTATATAAATATGGTGTTAGTGCAAACATTGCACTATAACTTAAGCTGAAGCTAACAGTAATAACTATAAGATCTATTTGAAATAAGTGTACTGAAACAAATACCAATAACTGTATTGCATTGTTTTCTTATGCGCAATTACTTCATACTGTCTAGTTCTCTTTTTCGTCCTGCATTTATTGTGCCCCCCTCAGAAAATAACTGGCCCCCCAGTCAAATTGGTCTAGAACCGCCACTGCCTAAATCCATGATACACAGTGATTTAAGGACATTTTAAGAATGTAGGGTATGTACATTGGTTTGAGTATACTTCATTTTGTCACATTTCCAGACAGTTTACATTCTTAAAAAACGCTGCACACTATACTCCAAAAATGAAAGGCACAAAAAGAAAACGTGGAGCAACTAGAGCTGAAACAAAATAAAACATATATTACATATAAATGATGGTCAATCAGCTAAAAACATTGTGATAAAACATAGTGTGACATTTAAAGAAGAAATGCTCCAAAAGTAGGATCTGGATCTGGATCTGGAAAATAAATATTTCAAGTCATCTTGTAGAATGATCAACTCTATGACTGTTAACTTATAGTATAAATACTTATTAACTATTTGTTTTATTATTTATATACTATTAGAGCGTTGACAAATGGGGCCTTTTTAGAAAAGTCAACATGCTTGAACTATGGTTTTGTATTTTTTGGTTTTGAGAGGTATGTGAGTGCACCTCAAATTACGCAGAGTGCACTGGAAACTCAAAGTATCCTGACTAGAGGAAAATGAATTTCTTGCTTAAATGTTTACCAGAATGCAATGCACCACCTAATCGGCATAAACACGACATCATCTACAATTGTCAAGATGCTTTATACCAGTGGTTCTGTTTGGATGTATAGCACACTATTCAATGAAGGATGTGGTTTTGTGGCTTCCTCTGTTCTGGCCAGATAGCTTGTTATTTGAAACAAATATAACCCACCTCAACTGTGGCAGGAAGCACAATGGATGTGGAGGAAATTATCTACACGTTTTTTGAGGTGCTTATTGCTGTTAGTTGCTGTCTTGGTAATATGTTGGTGATTTTGGCGCTGTGGACCAGTAAAAGCATTCAGGAGCCCACCATCAGTCTTATCGTCAGTCTGGCTGTGGCTGACTTTCTGGTCGGCTGCGTTGCCATACCGATGGCTGTGGTGGTGGACGGACGAGTGCCCACTTCATTTCATGGCTGTGTCTTCATCAGCTGTGTGGTCGTCCTGTTGACTCTGGTCTCAGTTGTGTCCCTCACGGCTATTTCTGTGGACCGCTTCCTCCGGGTGCATATCCCTCTCAGGTAAGACCTCTTCTGGATCGTTTATTGTGCAGAGAAAAGTAGAAAATAGCATTGCCAGGATCAGGGGTTTAGTATTATCTTATGCTTAAACATCATGCAGTTGTGGTACTTTTAGTTTTAGATCATGAAAATGCCTTGTATTTGTATAATGCCAAAAAGGCTTTGGTTAACATCGTGAGCAGATGATACATTCCATTTATGTACATTAAATGATTCCTTTTGTGTCACTGGTCAGATCACAACAATAAATGTGTATTTGTTGATTGTACATTTACTGTTTTCTTAGGTACAAAAGGACTGTGACGCAGAGACATTTTTGCCTTGTGGTCGCAGCATGTTGGCTTGTTGCAATACCACTGAGTTTTGCTCCCATGCTTGGATGGTACAACCATGACACCCTGTCTAAGTCAGTAAACTCCACCATTATCTGCAAGTTTATTGCTGTCATCCCCATGTCATACTTGGTTTACTTCAACTTTGTTCTCTGCAACCTGATACCTCTGTTGGTGATGACCGCTCTTTACGGCTACATCTTCTGCACCATCCGAGGAAACCTTCGAGATAAACCAGGCAACGGGGCCCAGAAACAGTGTCAGAAGTACCTGAAGAAAGAGAAACAGCTGGCAGGATCTCTGTCCCTGGTCTTGGCTCTGTTTGCCTTGTCCTGGCTCCCTATCCACATTATAAACTGCATTATTTACTTCCGTGGGAATAACGATATACCAGTTGTATATATCTATGTTGGCATCCTGCTTTCTCATGCTAACTCGGCTGTAAACCCAGTTGTGTATGCGTTCAAAATAGAAAAGATCAAGACAGCGTACCTAAAGCTCTGGAGACAGTATATCTCATGTGAGAAATAAATCAAGGATCTCAGACAAGCCAGACAACAGACAATACTCCCAGTAGTAACTTGAACAGTGAGGCTAATAATAAGTGAAGGAAGATTTGTTTGCTTATTTGTTGTAAGCTTATACTCATATTGTTACATCTAAAAGATCCATACATTTTCTTGGTTGTATTTCATTTAGCTTTTGCATGTTTTTAGTTCAGAAATCTTTGTTTTTATAGTTTATCGGTGTTTTTTTATTTGATCAAAGCATTGTAATATGTTTGCTGGACAAGAAATCTGAAGCAGTTCACTCAATTCCTACGAACTGTCTTTTCCTGTGGCGAATGCTTCTTCGCAAAATAATTAATCTTGATCGACTGGAAACTTCCTGCTTTGCACTAAAGTCAGAGGCAACTGTGTGAGACTGGTCTTGTATGTAAACTTAAAATGTCTTTTTTTTTCCGTCTTATTTTTTTGTACAATACTGGAATACAGTGACCTTTTTGTATCCTGATTGCAAAATGCTGTTCAAAGTCTTCCCTTTCTCACCAAGCCCAAATATCTCAACATCTACTACATGGATTACATAGAATTTGGTACTCATGTTCATGTTTCTTTCAGGATGATTGAATCACTTTTCATCCAGTGCCATTATATCTAATGTATAAAATAAAACTAATGACATTACAATCAGCCTTAGCTGTACTTTGGGATTCCAGCTAATCATTTATAAAATGAACATCAGGCAGTATTAAAGAAGGCTTGAAAATAGCAATTAAGATCACATAAACGTTAATAAAAGGTTCAATGAGGTTAGAAATAAAGTGTGTTCAGGGACTTTTTCTCAAAGACTTAAATACAATCAGAGCTTTGCTGCAACCAGGAGGTTCACCCCCTGTTGGTCATTAGATAGAATGCAAGGGCACTTTCCAGTGAGCATGCAGATATTGTCCAACTCACACGACCAAATAGGTCGATTGTTCAGCAGCTTATTACGACCTACTGTATAGTCACGTTTTAAAGTTTAGCACCTCTAGTGGTCGTGTAACGAAACAACAATTTGCGGCAATTGCAAACGCTCTGGAGGGTCGTTATGGTATATGGTGTATATGGGAATAATACTTTATTCCGAGTGTTCTTGTTTTTTTCTTTGAAAGTCATCACATAACGGCATTGTAATACACGGTTCGGCTGCATTACATATTACACATCTGCTGTAGTTCTCTATTTATAGAGCCCTGATTAGAAGACCTTTGGACAAACTGGAAGATATGCCGACAAAACTGAATATGTGACGTGGATCATAAATATATTAAAGGGGACCTATCATGCAAAATGCACTTTGTGATGTCTTTTATACATAAATATGTGTCCCCGGTGCGTTGGGGAACTCACGCAGCGTCAGAAAATAAAACCCTCTCTCTTTTCCTCCGTACCCAAATCTTTTTAAAACGGGTGTACAACGAGCGGATACAGATTTGCTGCCGATCTGACGTCAAATCGGCAGCGGACCCACAGAAAGTTGCTAACAGAAACAATGCCTGACGTGTTTGTGCGTAATCTCGTCTCTGTTTACATTAGCAAGCGTCGCTAACACTCAGAGCTAACCTGTACTGTAGAGCACATGTGTTTAAAAAGCAGGAAATAAAAAAAGGAACTCACCATGTGATAAACCTGCAAGAGAAAAAGCATTTGAGCTCCATACTGTTTCAGAAATAATCTTTGATGTGGTTTAGAACAGGATGGCGTTTTATCACAGCAGAATTTAACTTTATCTCTGGTAGAATTCTGATCAGGCATTAGCTCCGCCTCCTCTTTTTTTTTTTTTTACGCTAAGGACCCAAAATCTGCGTTTCTCTAACAGGGCTGCAAAAGAGGGGTATGAGCAGTATGAGGCATGGCTACAATGGGTGAACTGTTTGGTATTTTAAGGAAAAAACTTCACAGACATGTTTTGTATAGGTATGGGCCTACAATATATTTTTTCAATATAGCATAATAGGTCCACTTTAAATTAAACAACATCTTCAATTTCTCTTCACACAATACGTCTCCTTGCAGTATCAATAGTAATTCGGCTGACTTTTATATTTGATCCAATTGGTAGATAGGCTATATTTACACCATAACAGTGCACAGCTGATAGAAACGGACTTTTAAGATAAAAGTTTTTAAAGATATTACTGATTTTCTTTGAATTAAAGAATGTAAATACTGAGTTGAGAGAATAGTCAGGGGTTTTGGGTGATGGGAGACACATCTATGGAATCATGACGGATATACCTCAGATATTAATGTGTAGAACTACAATATGTGAAATCATATTATAATATCCTGTAAAATTATGTGAAAACATGAATAAAACTACACACCTTCAGCAGCGTCTTTATCGTTTTAATGCCATTGAACACAACTTTTGATCAGAACAACAGCATGACAATGTCCCGTTTTGGCTCCGTGTTGTGATGTCTGTTTTTGCTTCCCCTGTCGCGAGTTCTGATCACTCATGCCCCTTTCACACCAGCGCTTTTTCAAATCCGGCTCGGAGCTGGAGCCTGAAAAGCGCCGGTTTTTCCTGTTCACACCGCAGCGGCGCCGGCTCTTAGCTCCGGAATCCGGTTCACTTCCAGCTCCAAAAAATTGTCGGTCTAGAGGCAAGAGCTTCGGAGCTAAGAGGTGGCGTCGCTTACGTCTCTCTTACGTCGAGGCGTGCAGGAAACTAAACCCACCTCCCCTGAACATGGGTCGACTGTCATGCCTGCCTACAAGCAGTAGTGCTTATAAACACACTTTATAAAGTCAGGCAACACTAACCAGGCTTCGTGTGATTCTGTTTATTTGTACCTTACTTTGACCATCCGTTCACTGTTATTGATCATTGTGGAGAGAGGCAGACGTTTTGTTTTGTATTATAGCAGCTATCGGATGGAATCAATACATGGGCTGCACAGGTTGTCGTGTCCGACTATCACAATAATAAAAATACGCCGGTAAAATGTGCCTGTAGAAAACGGTTTATGCCACAATAGGATAGCAATAGCAAGTAGTCAGTTTAGCTTCGGTTGCTATGCTAACATCACCCATTTTATACCAGAGAAACTTTCATAACAGTGTTGTGATACCAAACAGCGTCAATTTAGACTGACACCCATTCACTTAAGGGGAACTGGGGATATGTATCAGCTGCTTGTGTGAGTCGGACAGTGAATACTAGAGCGGCCGCTGCAGTGTGAGCTAACCGGGAGCTAACGGAGGAGAATAAACTCCCGTGGAAGAGCAGCCAACACCGCAGCGGTCGGTAAATGCTGCAGAAACACATTAATAAACAATGAACCACGGCACTCAGGAGCAAAGTATAAGGTTGGAGAAGTCGTTATTCAATTTATTCTGGCTTCGTGTGATTAAAAGCAACACGATCATCGACCCGACGCAGTTCCCCGTTGTTGTGAGCGCCGTAATGCTGTTGGGGAGCAAATTATTTTATCAGCGATGTAAACGGTGACGTCATGACGCAGCAGCGGCAGCACCAGTCGGGTGCTGGGCGGTGTGAACAGAGCGGGAGCAGAAAAGGGAAACCGGAGCTGAACCAGAAAAGCTCTAACTCGGAGCTAGAAAGGGAAAAGCGCTGGTGTGAAAGCCGCAACAATGATGATACTAATACCTGTAGAATCTGTGGAATCTCAGTTTGCTAATTGTGAAGGTAAACTTCTGTTGTTGCAATGTTGAGGTAGAATGAAGGAGTCTGGAACCGTTGTTAGCCAAAAGCACTGAGAGTTTTATTGGAGAAAGTACAGACAATACGGCCGGGAGATCATCTTAGTTTCACACATGTCCAGTGCTCCACCAGCGATCTCTGAACCAAAAGACACAAAACATCTAACCAACACGAGGAGAGGCGGGCTTCCAGAAAGCCCGCGTATACCTAATCAATAGCCGATGCGAGACAATGGTCTGCTTGTCTCAAAGAGATGCTGCCAGGTCAACCCTCCCCCACGAACATAGGAGAAGCGTTTGACCTGTGACCTCAACCTACAGAGGAGTCTCTGACTGACTACAAGCAGATGTTTGCAGTATCACAGACTCTAAGGAACCATAAGAGACTCTATAAACAGATCAGATGAAAATATTCTCTTACAGATTCACTCTTTTTATCAATCTATTGATAACCAATTAACATTAGTCTAAGAATATTTCAGTCAATACTTAAAATCAATAGGCGTCCTCAGAGTTGGGTGGGCTCAGATACATTCATTACATTAAAAATAGAACAAGATTGAAAAACACTTCAATCACCATGATTGAACACAGTCAATCATAATAAAAATCATCTCTCTTCAGTGCTTGGCATTTTTGTCAAAAGGTACAATAATAAACACATGGGATACAAAATATTATAGCAAAATATATGTTTCAAAAATAAGATCTTTTATCATTTATAACTCAGTTAATCTCATTCATCAAACACAGATTCTAAAATCAGCTTACATCTCAAAGATTTACTTTAAGGCAATTACTTATTAAAAAACACAATTAGGATTATAAGAAATCAATTGAGGTATCATTTAGGATTATGAGAAATCCAGCTAAGGTTCCTAGTTTAAGGTATAAATTCGCAGTGATGAATCGATCAATCTGTAAAATGTAAAGTTACAGTGTCCTCAATCTTTAACATTACTTTACGTTTACTTCATTACGCTTTATTCAAGAGTAAGGCACTTAGTAATACATTTATTTCATTCAAATACACTTGTTCAAAATCTGAAAAGGAAAATCAGACATTTTATTTGTATCACAACCTGCAAAGGAAAAATCAGACATTTGTCCTTTAATCCAGTGTATCAACTGTAATCAATTATCAAAACATCTGTTCTTTATTCAGAATATCAACTTTAAACAACATCTCAATCGTTGAATGGAGGTACCCACGGGTCGGAGATCACGATGGAGACCCAGGGGTCCGGAAGCTCGGCATTGTACATTAATATTGTGTCCTTTACAGTGGAATGTCCAACTAGCCTTTGTGGGGCCTGG